TTCAAATGTCCAAAATAAAACATTCATTCAAATGAGTATGTGCTTTTTCATGTAATGCATTGATAATTTTATTTTTGTAACATAAATTTACAATGATAAACACGAGTTGAAAGTTTAAAATGCAAAGGAACAAAAAGGAGATTTGTAGATCCGCTATTATTAATTTTATTGCATTGACATAAACACATCCATCTTTGCAGATCACTGGTACCGGCCAGGACCAGCTGGAGAGCTTTGCAGATCACTGGTACAGGCCAGGGCTGGGAGTAGTGTGAAGTCTGAAACATTTACCTGCTGCACGCCCAGTGAGATCTAAAACAGAAAAGTGGGTTTAGAACAGACATATAATTATTACTTGTTATAACTTAACTATCTTATAAAGTCAGCAGAAGAGAAACAGTAACCACCAAACAGAAAGATGCTAGTATAAGCTCTCAGATTTACTGGAGACTCATTCTGTCATCTGTCAGGACAGGAACTCAAGCTGAACATGAGGCAGGCGGCTTTCTGACTGATTCAAACCTGCAGTCTTTCTGACCGTTTCAAACCTGCAGTCTTTCTGACCGTTTCAAACCTGCAGTCTTTCTGACCGTTTCAAACCTGCAGTCTGAGGGCTCCTCGTTTCCCTTCATAAGCCTGAAGCATCTCGCTCTTACCACTGTCCCTCGACAATATTTGAGAATGAAGCAGAAACAAAGCACAATTGAATGGTCAAGGAAACACTAGCATCATATTTTATTAACTAACATTTAGCATGTTGTTTTTGGGACCCCGTCTATAAGCTAATGCAGCTTCCTGGGAGTTCCCTATAAATGTGTATAACTTATGTTACTAAGTTTTGTAAATAAAGAATAGAGATTAAATAAATGTTTTTCTTTCACCAATAGACACACATATCATGTTCTAATATTATATGAAAGTCTATGACAGTCTATGACTTATAATAAAGCACGCAAATTAGGTGCATTTGTTTCATGTGTAAGTGTTTCATGTGTGTGCTTAGACTAAACGTGTCGTAGCTAACGCCAACTTAGCTGTTAGCGCTAGTTGCTAATTTATGTCTTACCCTGACACTTGTGTAAATATTTTTCATTAAAGAACCCCTTCTCTCGTGAATCTGTCTGCGAATTCTCAGCTGCAATAGTCCCTGCAGCAGCGAACGAAAAAGCTGGTAATCTGACTGATGTTGAGGAGAATATCAGTCATACCAGGGCAAACAAAATGCCATCCAAGTGCCTGGAGGCGACACTTCCTGTTCTCATAAAAAAGCGTACTTGCCAATAACTTCAGGGGGATTCTTGAGTTTCAAATGAAAATCGCAACAAGTAATTTAGACGGTCATTATTGGTTTACTGCATTATCAATTTAATAGGATCCACAGAAAACAAATCAATATTTAAATTTTGCATTAAATTCAAAGATCGAGAATCAAAATTTTTTTTTTTAAATGTTGGTTTTATTTAGAAAATCAAAAGAATGGATGATACATGAATTGAGAGAGTCCACCACATTGAACACATTAGTGCAGTCATGGAGAGAATGTTTGTTTGAACACCACCAGGACAAGGCCGATGCTCAGCAGCTGCAGCCAAACGAGCTGTGGGTCCGGTGTCAAAACAATCCCCTATTTTCAGAAGAAATGCCCTGGGAGCTCCAAGCGAGTAACCATTGGTGTCGTCTTTGAGCTCCATCTTAAGGATGTTATGGTTAAAAATTGGCGGACCCAAAGAAGCAGGATCAAAACGTGTTCATTTACGGTCCGTGTATTTATTTTCAATGTTTTTTTCAAATAAAAATTGAAAATGAAATATTGTAAAATGGCTTGATTTTTGATGTCTTGTTTAGATGCAGAAAATTAAAAAACAAAATATCGAATAATGGTTACAATACATGGCCCCATTCATTCTTTAGTTTACACGGATCAGTCGTCCTGGTCCCTTTGCAGAAAAACAGCCCCAAAGCCTGATATTTCCACCCCCATGCTTCACAGTAGGTATGGTGTTTGTATGATATTCTTTCTCCTCCAAACATAACAAGTTGAGTTTTTACCAAAAAGTTCTATTAATACCGTATGACATTCTCCCAATGCTCTTCTGGATCATCCAAATGCTCACCAGCAAACTTCAGATGGGCCTGGACATGTACTGGCTTAAGAAGGGGGACACAACAGGCACTGCAGGATTTGAGTCCCTGTCGTCATAGTGTGTTACTGGTAACGAGTGGAGGACAGAAGAGCTTCTTAAATAATGAGTAACAGGTCTGTGAAAATACTTATTTATCACCATAATTTGCAAAACAATTCTTTAAAAATGTGATTATCTGGATTTTTTTCTCATTCTGTCTCATAATTTAGGTGTACCTATGATGGAAGTTACAGGCCTCCCTCATGTTTTTAAGTAGGAGAACTTGCAAAATTGGTGGCTGACTAAATACTTTTTGCCTCACTGTATATGTGATTTTAGCAACTTAATTGAATAGCAGAGAGTTTCATCAAATATAGATAGGTCCACTCGTTCATCTCAATGGGAAATCACATTGTTTGCATTACTCTTTACTTTACACACATACAGAGTGAAATCAGTGAGACTAACAAAGACAAGCTATCTGGAAGCAGTGGAGAAGTACCAAAAGAACCACTCCAATTAAATGCAATATATTTTATACTGCCCTAAATTCAGTTACGGTCTGCTCCATTTGTGGTACTTCCGCAGGCCAAGGTAAACACAAAAAAATTCTGACCAATCAGAGCTCACTGTAGAGGGCTGCACTGGTGCACAGCCTGCCATAAGTGTTTAAAGGTAAACGACGACCAACCTGCGCACAAGGTACATCTATGGTTGTTAATCAATTTATTCATCTTTTAGAAAAGTTGAGCTAACTTTTGTGTTCAACCTTTGGACCAGGGCACTCAATGAGTTTTTCTACTGTTCCTAGTGTGTAAAAGCCAGTGTGAGGGGCCCCTGGGCAGAGTGTGTGTGGAGCTGCCCTGGATGAGTGTGCCCTGATGAGCAATAAAGAAAGGCTAAAGCACCACATGCCATAGGGCCTTCACCCAGCACAGTACGGGGCCCTCACCACGGGCCCCAGCTAGTGTAAACACAGCATTAATGACTGTTCTGTGTGTCAGAGCAGCAGTGGTGGGCAGGGTGTAATTAGGAGCCGCTCACCGTTTGGATTCATAGCAGGAGCTTTCAGACATCCTCAACGCCCGTCTTCACTGTAAAGAAAATATATTGTGCTTTTGTCTGCTCTACAGCGGAACTCTTTGGCATCTGTGGATCAATGCAAACTATTTTAACATCTGAAAACACAATATTGATCTAAAGTTCTATACCAAAGCATGTCCAAAGTTGGCTTGGCCTCGTTTCTCTTCCTGTTTACATTCTGCTACTGTAGCTAACAGCTCGAGCGGATCTCGTTGTTTAGGGGAAGACATATCTCACACTTTTTTCAAATTGCTCTGATGCAAAGTGCAGCAGTTCTGCATTTCTCTCAGTGCTCTGCCGGAGTCTAAGCACCAAATCATAACTGCATTCCTTGTACAGGAGCAATACAATTCATTTTTGTTAATAATGTTTAGAGAGTTTATGTGGTAATTAATATTATGTGACGGATTAATATGGAAACCAATGAATACAATTCTAATAAAACCTTTTGTCTGCTCTGAGTGTCTCCAGACTCTGATGGGAAACTGCAGCACTTGGAGGAAACCGGAGCATTCGGAGGAACCCTTCTCTCTCTTGCCCACAGTCTGCAGAAAGCACAACAAGCAAGCATTATGGGACTAGGCCAATCTTACATTGCGACCCCTAAGTAATGACAACAACAGCTAACATCATGCTAATTTGTGCGAGCTGCCGGCATGCTAACAGGGCAGATGCTCGCGTGCCTTCACAAAGAGCACCAACCCCCCATAGATTTCTGCATCCACAATCAGTGCCCGACACGCCATTATTTTAGGAAACGCTGACGTGCCTTTCTATTCATGACCTCACAATTATGTTTGTAGCTGGATGTATATAACAAACCACACAAGGCAGAAAGGAACCCCAGAAGAAGACCTCAACAATGGAGATATACCTACAAAAGAGACCAGGGATTCCTATATGTTTTAGTTTTGTTTTCTTTTTCTCCATAATTAAGACTAGGATACATATGCCTAAAGTGGATCATAGTAAATAAATGAATATCAATTATTGATAGAAGCCTGAGTCAATGACTCTTTTTTGTATGTTAGTTCTACATTTCCTGTGTGTGAACGGTTTGCCTTTATGATCTGAAACAAACAGAACAAACAAAACAACATCTTTGTAAAGTCCTCTGAGATAACTGTTGTTGTTATTCAAGGCTGTAAACAAATGAATTGAATTGAGCCTAATTATGCATTACTGTATTCCAAATTATAGACGTAGACAATACCAGTGTCAGTCTGTCAATCTCACCTTGACACATTTAATTAAAAGGTATTTAGGAGGATGTTCTCGAATATTTGGAAAGAACCGCCCCCTCCAGAGGGAACACTTAGGGATCCATCCGGAAGAAGAAAATCCTCCTAAAAATCTTTAAATTAGGATTTTATTAAAGCTGAAATAAGAGGACCATAGTCTGTAAATGACTTCTGCCCCCGGACTTCTGTAAATAATTTTCCAGAAAGTAAATTGTAAACAGAAAAGATCAACTCTACATTGTTTTCATAACTACTCTGAACACAATGGGAACTATGTCAGAAGAGAATCGCCTTTTGAGGAGAGAGCTAATGAAACCTGAGTCACTTTTGATAGGAGAATTTCACAAATAGAGAAATACCTTTTTTTTTACAAACAGAAAACAGCTCTGTGTGTGATGTCATAGTTTGAGAACATCAACAAGTTTCCAAACTTAGCATTCAGACAAATGGTTGGGGACATGTGCTTCCCTGATATCAGTGTGGATGGAGCTAAAAATAACTCCAGGTCTGTTTCATATGAGGAACAATGTTGGAGACCGATGCAATGCTGGGATTATGGCAGGCCCCTCCCCCCAGTGGTGTGCGGCTGATGAGCAGCAGGTCTCAGGAGGACGTCTGCAGCCTGGTTGAGTAGGGGGTCGTCTTCTCCTGCTGCTGCCTGCCTGTAGGCTCTGGTGTGGGGGTTGGGGGCTGCTTCTGTCCAGCCTGTCCACCCCCTGTCCACCTGCCGAATGCCTTTTGTCCCACACCACCACTGCTTAATTTCAATGACAAAGTGGTCCAACACATGCACCCTGGTCCTTTCACTGATTTGATGGTCCCTGAGGAGAGAGGCAGTCCTGGGCCAGCCCCACACCCGCCAAGCACCCTGCCTCCTTCTGCGGTCCAGAGCTCACTGACCGTCTAAGTCAAAACACCACATGGTCTCTGGGAATGACATTACATGCATTATGAAGGCATGCTATCAGCCCCACATGTTGAAGAATGGGACTGTCTCTGTGTGCTGTGGTGGAAGTCGTGGTGGAAGTGATGAGAAAGATCAGAGCCACAACAGGGAGACCATGTTCATAGTTTTCCTCTTCCTTTCATCCCATTTTGTTTAGAGGGATTAATTAGTGTTGTAGTATCTATAAGTACAAAGGATAAAAAACAATAAACAGGATACAACAATGCAAATCACAATACACATTAACAAAAAGGTTGGACGACAGGGCTGGACTGCCCGAAAGGCCAATGCCCGGTCTGCCTGATCCTCTACAGTATGTAAGTCTGCAAACTGTAAAAATAGCCGTAAAAATATGTGCAACAAAACCATCCGGGCCGTCAAGAAGGCAAAAATTCCAGGGCGGCATTTGTCAGGCCGAAGCAGACGTTTTTTTGGTTCCAACCGGCTCACTCATTCAACAAATCACACACACAACATTCAGGGTTCGTATTAATGTACACGGTCATTTCACCCCCTCCCAATGTATTTTCTGTTTTTGAACTGTTTGATTCTCTGATCTGTTGTTGGCATATCAATAACTTTATGAAGTTCTTATGAAGTTATACACAAAAACATGGAATTGAGTTTAAATGGTTCAAAAAGGACACGTTATTTTATCTAAGTTACAAAAATTTTCTCAGCTCCTTGCGTGATTATATCAGGAACATGTTATCCTACCGCTTCTGTCCAACAGCTCCCTTTGGCAAACTCTTTATGCTATGATATATTCTCAGACTATGAGGATGTCACTAATCAAGATATGTTCTCTGTCTGTTTGTCCATCAATTATATAATTAAGTAATAATTTCTCATTCTAAAACATGATTTGCCAAACTAAATATTATGTCTAAGAGCAAACATTAACACAAACATTACCTCATGTTTGTTTTTTATATTAAACTTGGTCATTTGCTCAGCCATCAAACACATTTCCAGCCTACCACACCAAAGGACCCACTGGAACAGCTGTCACATCCCAGCTCGGGCTCCCCACGGTCGGGCAGCTCTTGGCTCCGCTCCCCCTCTCAGTGTCACACCAGCGCATCCTGTCATCTCCGTAATGCGGCACATCTGCCATACACTTGTAGCCCATTTCACTCATTAGAGGCTGAAAGGGTTGTCACATGTGCAACCCTCTGCAACCTTCCCCGACGACCACTCGGTTTGCATGGGCAGGGAATATGAATAGGCTTTTCTCAGTATACATGCTGACTCAGATATCTCTTGTCTTTAGTATACATGCAGACCACTCTTGTCAGTATACATGCAAGCTCACACCTCTCTTGTCTCATTATACATGCTTATTGTTCGCTGAGATCACACTTAATTTAGGACTACTAGATGATTTCAAGCAAAGGTCCAATTTTACTCTTCTTTTGATCCTTCCAAAGTGTGTGTGTGTGTGTGTGTGTGTGTGTGTGTGTGTGTGTGTGTGTGTGTGTGTGTGTGTGTGTGTGTGTGTGTGTGTGTGTGTGTGTGTGTGTGTGTGTGTGTGTGTGTGTGTGTGTGTGTGTGTGTGTGTGTGTGTGTGTGTGTGTGTGTGTGTGTGTGTGTGTGTGTGTGTGCGTCTTTTCTAGTCTTTTCGGGCATTCCCCAAACCTCATGGAGAACATAGGCTGAACAGTAAATTGAGAGCATTGACTGCAAACAACAGTAAGATACAGCGGCTGCATCACTGCACATGTATAATTATTCACACAATTCAACCTGACGACTTGTGATTTCACCATTTTGGGAAATCGGACCTCAGCAGACAATCACACTCTTTTGGATCCATTTTAACTAAGCCACATATCCAATTGTCAATTTGTCTACTCCTATGGACACGCAGTGAGTAACCAGACCCAAGAGGACCCTATCTCCACTGCTGGTCCATTCTCACTCCAGCCCAGTGGAGGGCGCAAAGGGGCCAGGCTGCTGTCACTGCTCCCCAGATAAGCTGACAGGTCTGGCTCTAATCCAGCGGAGCCGTGTTCTGGAGTTAAGAGTAGAACAATCTTACACAAGACTCAAGTTGTAGCAGCGGAATTAGAGGGACTGAGATAAGAGAGAACTAGGCTTGTCCGACAGCGGTGGTCCTGGTTCTTTGCTTGGGAGCTTCATCAAAGTATTATCTCACATTTTCCTAAAAGTCAGATTATGGTCATTAAAGGGTTTATATTTCTAACAGTTTACAGTAGTGCAACTGGGTTCCCACATTCTCACATATTTCTCAAATCCTAATGTGGTCTTCGCAGCTTTTGGATTAGTGCAGACATATACAAATCCAGTGGCGGGCCGTGCATTTCAGACCTGTGCCTGCAGTGATGTCCTAGCCCAGTGATCTCGCACTTTTTTAGTGTCACAGTTCCCCCCCCTACAGCAATGTGCCCTCTGTGTTAAAAAGACGGAAGGCACATTGCTGATGACCAAATGTGCAACACTAGCGTTCACAAGCGTTTTCTTACCGGTGGTGAGGCAGGACGCGGCTCTGTGTCTTCTGCATTAGCCTAGATCCGCAGGTTGGCTCATTGACAAACTGTTATTCCCATCGGCTTATAGCCTCATCTCTGCCGCAGCTGTGTATGCCCTGGTCGGGGCAAAATCCCAATAATAATAATAATAATGGGTCGGTTTTATTTTACAGTGCCTTGCGAAAGTATTCGCCCCCTTGAACCTTTCAACATTTTGCCACATTTCAGGCTTCAAACATATAGATATAAAATTTAATTTTTTTGTCATGAATCAACAACAAGTGGGACACAATCGTGAAGTGGAACGAAATGTATTGGATAATTTAAACTTTTTTAACAAATAAAAAACTGAAAAGTGGGGCGTGCAATATTATTCGGCCCCTTTACTTTCAGTGCAGCAAACTCACTCCAGAAGTTCAGTGAGGATCTTTGAATGATCCAATGTTGTCCTAAATGACTGATGATGATAAATAGAATGCACCTGTATGTAATCAAGTCTCCGTATAAATGCACCTGCTCTTTGATAGTCTCAGGGTTCTGTTTAAAGCGCAGAGAGAGCCATGAAGACAAAGGAACACACCAGGCAGGTCCGAGATACTGTTGTGGAGACGTTTAAAGCCGGATTTGGATACAAAAAGATTTCCCAAGCTTTAAACATCTGAAGGAGCACTGTGCAAGCAATTATATTGAAATGGAAGGAGTATCAGACCACTGCAAATCTACCAAGACCCGGCCGTCCCTCCAAACTTTCATTTCAAACAAGGAGAAGACTGATCAGAGATGCAGCCAAGAGGCTCATGATCACTCTGGATGAACTGCAGCTAACTACAGCTGAGGTGGGAGAGTCTGTCCATAGGACAACAATCAGTCGGGCACTGCACAAATCTGGCCTTTATGGAAGAGTGGCAAGAAGAAAGCCATTTCTCAAAGATATCCATAAAAAGTCTCGTTTAAAGTTTGCCACAAGCCACCTGGGAGACACACCAAACATGTGGAAGAAGGTGCTCTGGTCAGATCGACCAAAATCGAACTTTTTGGCCACAATGCAAAACGATATGTTTGGCGTAAAAGCAACACAGCTCATCACCCTGAACACACCATCCCCACTGTCAAACATGGTGGTGGCAGCATCATGGTTTGGGCCTGCTTTTCTTCAGCAGGGACAGGGAAGATGGCTAAAATTGATGGGAAGATGGATGGAGCCAAATGCAGGACCATTCTGGAAGAAAACCTGTTGGAGTCTGCAAAAGACCTGAGACTGGGACGGAGATTTATCTTCCAACAGGACAATGATCCAAAACATAAAGCCAAATCTACAATGGAATGGTTCACAAATAGACGTATCCAGGTGTTAGAATGGCCAAGTCAAAGTCCAGACCTGAATCCAATCGAGAATCTATGGAAAGAGCTGAAGACTGCTGTTCACAAACGCTCTCCATCCAACCTCACTGAGCTCGAGCTGTTTTGCAAGGAAGAATGGGAAAGAATTCCAGTCTCTCGATGTGCAAAACTGATAGAGACATACCCCAAGCGACTTGCAGCTGTAATTGCAGCAAAAGGTGGAGCTACAAAGTATCAGTTTAAATTATCCAATACATTTCGTTCCACTTCACGATTGTGTCCCACTTGTTGTTGATTCTTGACAAAAAAATTAATTTGTATATCTTTATGTTTGAAGCCTGAAATGTGGCAAAATGTTGAAAGGTTCAAGGGGGCCGAATACTTTCGCAAGGCACTGTATATAGGGCTTTTTTGGACACTCAAAGACACTTTACATGTTATTCTTTCACTCCATACACGGTGGTGATAAACCACTACTGTAGCCTCAGCTGCCCTGGGGCACACTGACAGAAGCTAGGCAACCAGTATGTGTCATCGGCCCTTCGGACCACCAACCATTCACACACACATCAGACTCATTCTGGGGTGAAATGTCTTGCCAAGGACACAACGACAGCAGACATCAGTGGGAGTCGGTGGAGAAAGTCATATGGTGGGCTCGAACCCACGACCTTCTGGCTAAAAGCCCAATGCTCTACCAACTGTCGCCCATCCTGGCTCTTGTTGTTGTTGTGCAAAAACATTAAGCTTTAGTGTAACTAAACTTTGTGTGACCTGCCTCGGGACTACAGATGTAAATTAGCAGTTTTGCTATAATCTGGCACATTTACAATCTGTGTACAACTGTATATGATTGTTCATTAATGTGTGTTGTCCCGATCAAATAAATAAATAAATAAATAAAACTACCTGTTTTCTTTGTCAACCACCACACCAATCCAGACAACAGGTGCACAGGTATACAGGAACACCAATGCACTTGTTCAGCTATAGCTTGACCTAATGATCCATTGTTCAGACTCACACTCTATACTAATGATGCTATCCATGCTGTTAGAGATCACCTTGACCTTGTTTAGAAAAAGAAAGGATTGGAGGCCAATGTCTGAAAAATAATTTAATTTGATCATTTCAATGATTTTTAGTAATTTCAATCCTTCTTTTCTTGTTTTGTTCAGCTCAACAAAACAAGAAAAGAAGGATTGAAATCCCTTGTGTATCACCTGTGCTATACAAATAATCTTACCTTGCCTAATAGTGAGTGTGCAAATTTCAATCCAACCAGAGGATTCCTGAATTATCCCCCACACTGCAGCCGTCTCCAGCATGTCCCAAGGAACGTCTGCCAGGGGCCCCGTACAGATATGATAGAAGAGGAGAGATGGGGGGAGAGACAGGGGGTTGGGGAGGAAAGCGGCTGATCAAACACCACCATAAGCCTCACAATAGTCTGCTCCAATTTAGGCCAGACGCTGTGACTTTTGAATTAATTGTGTCTCGTTTCAAGGAGAGATCTTTGCTGCTGATGCCCTCCCTGCTGTTCAGAAGTGTACAGTATAGAAGTAAGTAGTAAGTAATCTTTATTTATATACCGCCTTTCACAGACCAGAGTCACAAAAGCGGTTTACAAATGTGGGCATTTGTCTCTCACTCCATACAGAAATGGGAGCGGGGTCGCGAGTACAGGAGGCGCATGCCAGACCTATTGTACATGTTTTTAGTGGTAGGGGAAACCGGAGTACCCGGAGGAAACCGGAGTACCCGGAGGAAACTATCGCAGACACGGGGAGAACATGAAAACTCCACTCAATAAGTGAAATCCTTGAAGGAGCAGCTATATATTTTAAGGCTGTATAACCCCTTAATACACACCTTTCTAACCACCTGAACTTGCAAATGCTGAAGTGCGATCGCCTAGATATCAAACATGTTGCCTGTTGGTTGTAGGGCTGAGTTCTGCTGCAGCTGTCAAAAGCTGTGCATACACTTTAAAATATGGCTGCAGAGGACACAGCGCTGAGGGTTAGGAGCAGGACTGAGGGCTGACAATTTGTCACGGTGCAGAGACCAGAGAGAGGTCAGAAAGAGGCCAGAGAGACAGAAACAAGAGAAAGACCAGAGAGAGCGTAGAGACCAGAGAGAGATACCAGAGTAAGATACTACAGAGAGAGAGAGACCGGAGAGACAGCGATGATCTGGGACATTTAAGGACATTTCTGAACAGTGGTCATCCTGCCTCCTATGGAACAATGGCTCCTAGGCTAGGTGTTTGTTATTATTGAGAACTGTTTGATTCTCTGATCTGTTC